TTATTTATTTATTTATTTATTTATTTATTTATTTATTTATTTATTTATTTATTTATTTATTTATTTAATATGGAAATTAATTATCATGTATATATAATATTAGGTCTCTAGCACACTGTGTAACTAATATTTTATATGGTCCTAAGTCAGGAACATGTAACCTAGTGGTCGTCGTTGGTTGCTGTCTGCAGTATTTGATTTTCGTTCAGTTTTGTAGCATAAATCAGGCCATATGGTTTTGTCTGTTATTTTGTTATCCTGGTGTCTCTTATAGATCAATAAACGATATGGGTCTTAAAGGATAGTTTTCTCATTTACTCTTCTTATTTTCATATTATATCTGACGTATAAAGAAGTTTTATTTATAGATCTAGTCCATTGAAGGGTTTTCCCTTTAGAAACTCATATTAATGTAGTATTTAGTTGGGATCGTACCGATCAAGCTAAAGTAGTATGTGTCATTTTATCTGGTTAAGTCTTTCGACTTTCTTTTCTTTTTGTTATGTTTTAAGTTGGAAGGGCAACTTTGATGCAGTGGTTTTTCTATTTTTCGTTGATAGTTCTTATTTTAACCACACTAACAGATTTATAACCATTGCTGAATTCTTTTTAAACAAACACGCATCGTTTATCTTTTCGTGCATGCATTTAAAAATTTGTCAGATTTTACAATTACCGCTGAAGTCATTTTTAATTACATTATAAATTCATAAATGGACGTTCAGAAATTAAGGCTGTCAAATAGGAAGGAAACCTTATATAAGGGACTGTCAAAACTAATTGACAACATTAAATAACAGAGATCAAATTGCCTAAAATAGCAAAAAGCTTCTACGTTTCCGGAAAAAGAATAATCAGATTAAGTGGGAATGGTAACGTGCCGCCATAATTGGTTCTAATACAGCTCCCAGATCATGTGACTGTCTAATTTGTCTTATGTTGTGTTTGAAGACATCAATGCAATGTTCAGATTTGTTACTCAATCTTTACTTTAATAATGTTTCATATGTCTTCTCCATGTTCGCTCAAATTGACATAAAATCTATAGTGTTGAGTTATTTTCCGGATTAATGTAAGAATCTGTGGAAGAAGGTAAGTCTCTTGAGACTTGTTGGTAAAATGTTTTTATTCGGGCTTGAAATTGTTTATCGACATTGTAACTGAAATTTACACATAGTTCAACTGTTTGATTGGTGTGTTATAAGGAAACATTTATAACAGTGGGATAAAAGACAACTCTACTTCCTCATAGATTGAATATTAATTACGTTTAGTTATCTTAGGCTTCGGAATTTCCAACGTTTTAAATATTTTAAGAAATATCTAGTAGTACATTGGCATTTATTACGTCTATATACAAATTTCACAAAAGGGTGTCAGGATCGTTTAATTTTTCCTCCAAGGAAAACACGAATGTATGTGGGGTTAGCGACACTTTTTAATTTATTCTGTTTAAACAAGAGTCAGACACACTTAATTTTTCACCTTAAAAATTACTACCTATTATGGTAAACCAAAAAAGGTGATTTTACTCAAACTAAAGTTGTATCTACCTGATGCAAATTTTACCTTTCGACAGTTTTGGCTGTTATTTCAAAATTTTTAGGGGGAGGGATTTGAACGAGATGAATGTGATTTCAGAAACGGCTGACATGTTCGCACTGAAATCAGTACGTTCATATTAACCCTTGTCAAACATTTTTAATTTGCCAAATGTCATGAGTAATTTAGAAACAGGATTATAAAAGACTGTCATCTGCATTTCTCCGACCCGAAGGTAAACCCCACGCTTAGTGGGCGTCTGTGTGGAATGTAAAAATTCACAACTGCGTCATCATTATTGGGACGTTAAATCGGATACCTAGTATTAAGAATGGTCCACGCTCTCTGCACGTTCAAAAACCCTTGCAACAACTCTTTGAGCGATCAATAGATTGCCTTCTTACGGTTAGATTTCTGCCCCAACCTAGGTTTTTATTATGTGAACCATTTTGTCTTTCCGAGGCTGATTATTTGATAATTGAACTCAAATATGTTAATGGTTATTGACTACAGTTGTCTTATTTTGAAATTTTTTGATTATTTGATGTAATGATTGATAATGTAAATTCTGCTCTACCTTTTGGTCATTTGTTGTTAAGTGATAACCAAGTATTTTCTAATGCCGCTTGTTACTTTTTTTGTAACCCTTAATTTTTCCACTTATTGTTTTATAACCGGGTTTTCGACGGAAATCCGTTAATTGATTTGTGATGTAACGGCAGGTGGGCAGACAGGTATTTTGCTTTTTGTTACTGATGACAAAGTGGACGTCAAGTTGAATACAAATATATTGACGATTTTTACGTTTTCAATTCAGGAGTTTGGACCCTTGATTGATTGGAAAATAACGTTCTGGAGTTGTGGTCTTTGATTGCTTGGAAAATGGAATTTTCAGTCGCTTACGTGCAATAAGTTGAGTACTATTCCAAAAACGCTTTTTAAACTTTAATATGTTGTTACTGGTGACAAAATTGAAGTCGAGTTACGAATAAGCGATTTTCCTGTTTTTGCTGTTATTTTGACGGCCTCTTGTTTACTTATTTGAATGAAAATAAGGCTTAAATATTCTCCAACTCATAATCAACTAAATATTTTCCAACTAATGTGCATTTTTTCAAAATAACAATTAAAGATTTAAACTTGTTCGAGATACTGATTAATTTCTCAAAATGAAAACCTATCAAGGTTTACTTTTATAAATTGTTAATTGGATGGAGAGTTGTCTCATTGGCACTCATACCACATATTCCTATATTTAGTGAGAAACTTTATCAATGGTTGTCTATAGTTATGTCTTAACGTTGTTTTTTTCTGTCTTTGAAAAACAATCGTGTTTAAGACGGATCGTTTTGCAACCTGTTACATTTATTCACATTCTCCAAATTGTTTATGCAACTCGTGACGTCGATTTCAAGATTGACAAACGATATAGACATGGAATAACTAAAACTGTAGTATTCATTTGTTCAACTTTGACAAAAGATTAGAAACACTTTCATACAAAAACTATGACGACAAATTGCATTAGTTGCCATGATAACGGAGTAAAAAAATTTATTTAACTTGAAAGAAGGATTTATTTTTTTATGAATCATTTAAGAATTCCGGATATGGAAATGGTGTCATATACGCATTACATTTCCCAGAAGAGAAAGTAAAGAAATATTTGATATATTCATGAAAAAATAAAAAAAAGATTTGTATCAAATCTTCATGATGTTAAAGCAAGTGTAAATGGCCTGATCGATTTTTCATTAGAATTATTCCTATCTCACGGTTGGCTTTGTTTCTTCCATTATGTCGTCCTTGTGCGGACTGGTTAGATAAAACAAAACGTCAAATATGAAATCAATGCTTCGTTAACTGTCTAATTTGTACCATTTTGCCTCGGTTGAAAAATCGTTGAATGCAGAAGGGTAATTAATTCCGTCGCTGCCAATGTCAAACTTAAGCTTTTGAAGTTTACTGCCTGTCTTACAAGTATCCACAATTTGGAGAAAGATCAAAATGCTGGACTGCTCGCAATCAGAACAATGAATCTCTCTTCGACTGAAACGTGAAAAGACCGACTAAATTTTTAATATGCATGTAATGTTTGTTGCTGGACATTAAGCAGGCATCAAAGAAATATTTTAATTTAATGTCAGTTAACTCCTATAATTGATCTTAAATGGTTTTACCGATCTGTGTGTTTGAACCTTTTTCAATTCATTGCTCTTTATTTATATATAAATTGATGGTTTTCAAAACATTTTCAGTGTACACATTGCTAATGAAGACGAATTTTAAAAGTAATGTCTTTTGAACGCGACAACTTCGGTATTATAGTGTTAACCAGAAATCGTCGCCATGAATTTATTTACGCGTCTTATAAGAGTAGAAAAGTAACGCGAATATGCCAAACTTATATCTTCTCTATGGTGAATAAATCAACAAAGTAAGAAATTCGAAGAAATTGATCGCCGCTAAACGTAAAAAAGTTATTTGTTATTTAATTACTTTGTCTTAATAATATTTAGGAGGTGCGGTATGATTGCAAATTAGACAACTATTGATTAAAATTCAAATGACGAAGATTAAAACAATTATATGTCAACGTTCGACCTTCAAGAATGGGAAAAACCCATATCGTTTAGGCAGCTATGAAAGTACATTGCGTGAAAAATGCGAAACAATTAATTCAAACGAGAAAACGAACGGCCTAATTAATAACAATACAATTTACGAAAAAAAAATATGACAGACATGAACCAACAACAATCACTAAATTATAGGCACCTGCTTTGGACCCTACACATTTTGCGTCAAAGAAATACAAAAACAATATTCAAATTACAACAATTTAATACGATTAAGTTGAGGCAACACTTATTCATCAAATAAATTATGTTCTTTTGAGCCCTAAGTCTTCTAATTTTTTTCTTTCTTTTGAAGTGTTGCCTGGAGATGGTATCATATTATTTTCTATTTGTGATACTTAACAGGGTGTTTTTGACGAACCAAGAAGACCATTAAACAGGCAGTGTACACAGGAACTCGATCAGTTTGTCTGCCAATTAACCACACCTTCACTGAAATTAACTAGAAAATCTGAATCTTTAGATATTCAGCGTGATTCCCCTGAACGAAAGTTAACGCCATCTCCAACTGCATTATCAACAGATATGAAAGACAAATGTTCCATTTCACCAGAGCCTTCAAAAGATAAAAAGTCGGCAAAAAAGAATTGGAAAAGAAGAATATTAGAACGAACAAAATATCAGGGGAAAAATGGTTCAGTATGTTTTGAAGAATCAATTGACCTATCTTTCGACCAATTGCAAACACCGGAAATGACGGATTTTTCATTTGATAGCACGTCATCAAGATCGCAATCAAGCTTACGACGTTCTCAGGTATCATTTACTTGCGAATCCTCTCTAGACGCTTCAGACCATGATCAATCATCAGAAATAAGGATGTCCACCTTACAAAAGATTGACGACGCTTCAGACCCTGATGAACAGTCAGATTTATTCTTTTCAACAAAGAAAGATAAAGAGTCTAAAAGACAAAAACTAAAACGGATAATCACCCGACCTTTACGGAGGAGTCAGAGCGCATGCTGTGAAAATGAAATCCCATCACATGCATTATTTTTAGATACCAAAAATGGCAAATCAAAAGACACGGTAAGTGTAATATCGCTAGCCGGAAAATAAAATTTAAGTGCGATTTATCAATCTAAGTCCCAAAAGTAACCTGATATTTGTTTCATTTAAAATTAGTATTCTTTTCGATTTGCGAAGAAATGTCTAAGTTTTGATGCTCCAAAACAATTCAAATCACAGGATATCATAAAATCATTACTTATATGGTTAAATTAGGATGGGCAATAGTGTTGACGACGCCCTGTTGATATGAATACTGTATCAGCTTTTAAACCCCGTCCAATACAGGGAAAGTCTTAGGGCTACTACAGAATTTTCACTTCCGGTTGTAATTTTGATTGATAACCTTAAGCCTTATATAACTGTGGACGGTATTTTGATGCATACGATACATTGTTATCATATTTTGTAACTAAAAGTAAAATAAAATAGTTTGAAGTATGTTCCATGTTTTGTAACGATATTACATAGCCTTTCAAAGTAAAAAAAAATAATTAATATCACTCTCTTTCATTTCCGTCGATCAATCACCAGACCGAAGTCGATTTTTAAGAATAAGAATGGTTTATACTGATTTTTCTTCCGAGCTATTATTTCTTTGCTAGATAAAATAAAATTGCATTAGTATAGATTAAGTATCTGGACGAAAAATCAGAAATCTCATTAATATTGACAAGAAAGCATCGTTGCTGGGAGGAGATAAGTTCAAACATAATTTCCTGAATATGCTTCACGGTTAGTTTCTTAGTTTGTCGAAGAATTAGAATCATTTAATAAGAGTGTTATAATCTGGCTGTTTCTGTTTTGGTCCTGGTATCGGTATTCGTTCAGTTGTATTGTTCATCAATTCTATCGAGTCTCGGGACCAATACAGAAACAGCTAGTTAAGAAAACTATATTATTGCTGTCTAACATGTGTTTGTATCGAGAGTACCTGTAGAAGGTTATTCCAGATAACTCAAATCAAAGGTATATTTCTTATGGACTGAAGTCATTAATGGTATCGTTGTCTGCAAGTAAACGTATATTGTATTGAAATCTGGTTTAGATATGTACATAATCGACCTCTTACAACTATCCAATGCTATGGTATTATTACGTGAGTATTTCTGTATTGGCCTTGTTATTGGTCCGAGGCTTGCTGTATTGGCCTGAGGCGAAGCCGAAGGCCAATACAGCTGGCCAAGGATCAATAGCAAGGCCAATACAGAAATACACGTAATGTTACCTTTATTAATTAACTACAGTGTTAACATTGTTTTATATACCACAAGAGATAAACATTTTTTACATTGAAGTGGAACTATCCGAATCTGAGTTCCCATTTATCATGTTTATAAGTTGCAATATCAAATGATCTGGTGCTGTCTTCTACATTTTCTTATCTGATGAATTTGTCTACCCTTACCAGTCACTATAAAGTGTTACAGTTCATATTTAGACGCAACACATAAATAGTAATTGGAAAGGTACTGCCATTGCATGTGTAATGTAGAAACAAATTATTTAAAAAAAAATGTAGGAGTTGAATATGATTGAAAATGATAAAACTATCCATAAGGCAACTTACCGAAGATTTGAACAATTACAGGTCACCCTTCCACAATGCATATGCCTGGTTCGGGTTGAAAAATAAATGACAGTGTTAACAAAATATGAGAAGCGGAATTAAACAGTAAATCGGTTGTACCTGAGGTCGACAAGAAAAGAACTTTGTGATAAACTACTCGATGCCTAAACCTGAAATAATTCAATTGTCTGCTTACAAAATGGTTTTTAAATGAATGTGACCGTCTTTGGCCTGACATATATGCCACCCTGAACGTTTCGGCATGTTTATGGTGAGTAAATGAAAACTGCGTCTTCCTAACGACTGTTTACTTTAAGTTTGTGTTTATCATGACTTTCGATCTAAAAACTAGAGACGTTCCGATATCCTGTATTGGCCGGATCAGAACTCGGCCAATACAGAAAAAAATCAATAATGGCCGAGTTATTCTGTATTGGCCGAGTTGACACTTTTATATTGCATAGGCAGTTTTCATCATATTAAGTCCATTAACAGAGAATTTAATTAATAAAATACTTTATTTGTTTTATTGTAGATGGAAAATCGTGCTTTGGACTTATTCCTTTATCAAAGGCTTTTTGGTAGCCATGATGACGACGATAAAGCAAGACGGTTTCACAAGACCTGTTCAGCCGAGTCAGCATTAGCAGAAAACGTTCAGGCAAAATCCAAATCTAGTAATTTGTAAGTAGTTAAATCAGTTTCATTTCTGTTGTGACAACACGGTACCATTTAAAATAGTGAATAACAAATCTCATAATCTATAACTTATAATGTCCATATACTAGTATACATTTACGGTCTTCTTTTGGGATTTTTTTTAAACGGTCCTAATGAGAGCAATTGTTGTCACACTTCAGGTTGAAAATGCCAAATACCATTATTATGTTTGTTGTGTAATTGTCAAAGTCCTTAGTACGTGGTACAGGCCAAGGTTCTTCGGTGCGCCAATATTCCAATTGTATAATATAGTGTCAATTATGACTCATGGCGTCAATCGTGCAGAAAGATTTGCACGCATATGTAAGATGACATATATTTGTTAAAAAGTAATAATTAACCTATATATAGCTAGGCAATAATGTTTTAAGTGTAAATAAATCGAATTTATTATACAAGAATTCTGCTTTGAAAAGTATGAAAATTGCTTCTTACAGGGCGAAGAATATGAAAAAGAAATTTCAATTTCTGCGTAGACAAAACACTGATTCTGTAGTGGATCACGAGAGCTCATTTCCCTTCTTTAACACAACGACACATGACCAAGCATTACAGTGGAGTAAATCATTAGATGATCTTCTACGGGACAAAAGTAAGAAAAGCTTAGAAAAGCATAGAAATTAATTTGTACTCGTCATTGTTAAGAAACAGAATCTGCTTTAAGGGCTTTTATTGCAAACCGATTATTTGCATGATGATCTATCCCATATTGATCTTCACATAAAAGATACGAGAGAGGTAACCCTTGTAGCTCTGATGAGGGTATACAGATGTAAAAGTATATACATACCTGAGGATATGTTTATGCAAACAAAAACACATCAAAGATACCTGGCATATATTTTGTACGCCAGATGCGCGTTTCGTCTTCAAAAGACTCAACAGTGACGCTCGAATTAAAAAAAGATAAAAGGCCAAATAAAGTATTAAGGTAAAGAGCATTGAGAGCCTAAAATTCAGAAAGGTTTTGCAAAAAGGACTAGAGTAATAGATAAATCCATGGTAAAATTTTTACGTTTCGTTCATTAATACATTTTTAGTCATTTGTGTATGTTTATACATAGAATGGGGAGAAAACGAAATGGGCGTATATACACTGGGAAATATACAACTAATGGAGGTCGATCTATTATAATCAGACAAAGAGGATTAAACTAGAGATGACTTGTTTAGTAAACGTTTAACAACCACAGATTAAAGGGAAAGCTAAAACATGGGTTTTTCGAATTTCAAAAATGGTGGAGTTTATCATTTGTCCAGAGATATACATGTCCTGCTACACCTGCAAAGGCGATAACTTGTGAAATATTAGTGAATTGTTTTGAAATTATCTCACTCAGTTTAATTATATTGACCTAAATGCGATGAAAAACGCACATTTTGTTTTCTTGAACGGCTAATTCAAACTAAAAGCTGTAACTACCTTAGCTGGTTTTTTATAGTAAAGAGCACACGTCCACCTTGTTTTTTAATGTATGTGCCGTATTTTGTTCCGTTGTTCAATTAAGTGGTCAGTATGTCAGTAGCTGCATTGCGCAGGTTTTTAGTTGTGTGTTTTACTTAAATGACATTTGGCCTAAAAGACAAATTGAGAGGTGTTTGCACACGCAAAACTGCTTTAATCCTATCACAAAATCTGTGTCTATTCCCAGTCAGACAATATGAATCATGTGTAGTTCGTTGTTGTTTGTCATTTATTGTATGTCTTGTTTTTTTCTTACTGAAGAGGCAAATGTTGTTGGTTGGTTTAGTCTGTTGAACGTCCAATTTTGGTAATCCCTGTTGTCCCTTTTTTGTATTATTTTTAGTCATTACTTAAACATATCTTTTATGGTCATAATCGTAAACTAATGGATGAGAAAACTTTGAATTTTCGAAATACGAAGGATTTTCTACCCCAGGAATAGATTACCTTAGCTGTATGTGGCAAAACCTTTTTGAAATTTTGAACTCTCAATGCTCCTCAATTTTGTACTTTATTTGGACCTTTTAAACTTTTTTTTAATTCGAGCGTCACTAATAAGTCTTTTGTAAACGCGCGTCTGGTGTACATTATGTTAAGCCTCTATAGGATGAGTTCATTTGAAGATATCTCATCTAATGGTGTGCCTTCACGAAGACTGTCTCGTCTTACACAATCATTTTCTGTTAATGAATGGTAATGTTCGTTTTAAACCTCAAATACTAATAATTATAAGATACGGTTCAAATTTTTATCATTTCTGTTGTCTACAAATAGTGGTGAAACATCATTTAAGAAGCGTTATTACATGTTTAATCCCTTTAAATTTTCAAATAGCAAAGTCGTCTTTCTAACTATGGTCGTTAAAGACCTTCAGGTCGTAGATGAGACTTACCAAAAACGTAGTTATTAAATGTATCAAATACCTTTTTTGAGTATCATAACATTGGGAAAACTAAGTCTAAATAGACATTAACCCCCCCTCCCCCCCCAAAAAAAAACAAATAAAATTTAAAAAAAAGAGGCGAAAAATACCAAAGGGATAAGTCGAAAACCAACTAACATTGCCATGGCAAAAACCGAATGACCACAAAGACGAAACCAGTATACAAATCAAAACACGAAAAAACGAGAGATATAGCAACACGAACCCCACTAAAATGACCACAGGTGTTGGGAATGACCACAGGTGCCCCGGAAGGATAAAGTGATCCTGTTCCACATGTGGCACCCGTTGTGTTGCTAATTTAACTACAAACCCGGTGATAAGTCTAATCCGGTAGCTCATATTCGAGGATAACAAGACGGGATAGTGGTTACGACAATTGAAACATATCCGTCGTCATCTGTGAAAAAGATATTCCATAACGATCAACCAACTCGTGATGGCGTCAGTAAAATTTTCGAAGGGGTGACAATATCGTTGCCACAACCACAGTAATCGGATTTATTGTAATCGTTTTGAAATCGCTTCACATAGGTTTTATTGAACGCAAGTGCATGTTTTTGTTCAATGTTTATTACGTCTGAAAGTCGAATGGAATTTTACTCATCTGTTTGTGTCTGAATTAATGTTTCATTTGATATGTTTGATATGTCCTAATTCAAAATTAAATTATTTACAATTTCTGGTGTCATATGTAAAATCACTTTTACTGCTGTTTCATAGAACTCATCAAAGTCTTTTCAGTCAGGCATAAGTGACTTTAACGATAGGTCGATATTTGTATTTAATTTTTATTGTTTCGTTTTGATGTTTCCATATGCTTTTGATATTTTTCTACATGTTACTCAAATGCATAAATATCATACTGAACATTTTTTTTGCATTTTGTTGATATGATTCTTAAATATCTTTCAGATGGTGTAGAGTTGTTTCTATTGTTTCTTCGGTCCGAGTTTAGCGAGGAGAATTTAGAGTTTTGGATTGCCTGTGAAGAATTTCGAACATGTAACGAATCTAGCATGCCAATAATGGCTCAAAAGATTTACAATGAATTTGTTGTCTCGAAAGCACCAAAAGAGGTAAATGAAAAATAACACTTTATAAGTTTCATACATGTATTATTACACCAGGGTTTTTGATATCACAAACTAGTCAAAAAATTTACTAAATTTTATCATCGGTACAAGGACATCATTCGTAAATATAAATCAACATGCAGACATCTTATACGTTCAGGTATTTCACATCCAATATTCTATGGTAATATTCTTTACAAAGCACAAAAATGTCGGCATTCACCTCAAAAGCTAACCAAACCTTTAAACAGACTTATTCGGATGGGATATAGTTACGATACTGTTGTCAGGTCATTATGAATTGCATATTTTGGTATTGATATTGATTCACTCATAGGGTCTTTGCATCGGAAATACACATTTATTCTAAAACCAGTTGTTGGCATGATACGGGTTATGTTCTTCTCATATATTTTATGATGGTATGATACTAAACCCCTAACGAGAGGGATTGTACCTGATTTTCCTATGATGAAGACATAATCTTTCAATCAGTTTAATTGAGGTCTGGAGCTGGCATGTCAGTTTTGCTTAGTTTCTTTTGTTACCTATCCTGACATCGGACTTGACTTCTTTTAAACTGAGTTTTACTGTGCGTATTGCTATGTGTTTCTTTATTCTACATTGGCTAGAGGTATAGGGGGAGGGTTGAGATCTCACAAAACATGCTTTGCGCCTGTCCCAAGTCAGGAGCCTCTGGCCTTTGTTAGTCTTGTATGTTTTTTTAATTTTAGTTCCTTTATATGTTTTGGAGGTTAGTGTGACGTCCATTTTCACTCAACCAGTACACAATTTTATTTAGAGGCCAGCTGAGGACCACCTCCGGGTGCGGGATTTTCTCGCTGCGTTGAAGACCCATTAGTGGCCTTCTGCTGTTATCTGCTCTTTGGTCGGGTTGTTGTCTCTTTGACATATTCCCCATTTCCATTCTCAATTTTATCCAAAGTGCTTTTCTGGATTCATCTTAAAAAGAAACTCTAAAACATGTACATATGAGAGACAGGGATGTATGAAAACGTACAAATGTTAGGAGATATATGACCGAAAGTTACATGAAGAGAAAAGCATAATTCATTGAAAGTCAATAAAAATTTCAACTGTGCCTGAAGTAATCGAAACCTTAGTTTCGTAATAATTTCTTAATTCATCAAAGGGATATTTTTGAAATATGTGTTCTAACTCATGTCAGTGCCGAAAAACTGACTACTGAGATGAAGACACCCTCTGGTGACTAACAGTCTATTGGCAGCGGTATCATCCCAGTTAAATATGAAATTAACTTTGTATAAATTGGTGCTTTCGAAACGCTTTTCTGGATTTACCTTCATCTGTAACGCTCATACCCAAAACTTTGAAAGCGGAGGACATATAGTACCTCAATGCACGAGGAGATATATGACCAAAAGGGGCCACAAAATAAACACCAAATATACATAAGATCAACTTTACCTAAGGTAATGAAAATAACACTTTGTAAGTTTAATGCGTCCGTGGCACTTTTTGGATTTACCTTCATCATGAAAATAGTTCTAATAAAGTTAGTTCAAATGGTTACTCACGGTGTTTAATATTATTGGATAGGCACACACATTTGAAATATGATGTGTTATCGTCATATCTCTACGCCAGTATTTCTTAATTCTAAAAATTGTGAATGAAACGTTATCACAGCTTTCAATCCGCAGTTTTAGTGCAATTTCAGTATGGAAAATGATAATTTCTTTTAAAGTACTGAGTGACATATTGAAAAAGGGGGATTTATATGTTTTATGGTAAAATTGATAATTAATTGATAAGAAAAAAACAATAATAAATTTGAGGGACCTTATGTATTCTGTTTCATTGGTTTTTTTTATTGACATATACCAATCGCTTCCATTTAATCATATTACATTTCTTTTTTTCTTTTTTAGAAAATAATTTTACCATTGTTTTATCTTTAATGACTGCTAACGCCGTGATCTTATAAAATGTCAAGATATTGATAATTCTTTTATCATGAGAAATAAGAAAACAAACTAACACATTGTCTGATTTTATAGGTAAATTTAGACGCTGACACTAAAACAGAGACCATCGAAAATTTAGAAAGTCTTTCCCGGGATACATTTGATGCTCCTCAACATAAGATTCAAGCTCTAATGGCAAAAGATTCATATCCACGATTCTTGGAGTCCGATCTTTACCAGTTTCTTATTGAAAATGTTTCCAAAGTTTGACGTTGAGACAATCGGCAACAAAACCTCTTCCAGTGAGGAAATACGTGTTTTTAAAATAACTATTTTTTCTCGTGTTTGTTAGGATTTTCTTCTTCTCAAAACTGTTTTAGCGATACAATGATGGAAATGTCATGGGATTAATGTCAATAGTAAGTAATTGTATATCAATATTTAATAAGGTAATTGAATTTGAAAAGTTGACATTAGAAAAGACTGATTATGAGTCAATTGATTTTTAATTGGAAATAATACCACATGTCATATGAGTGTACAATTTAAGTGCGGAGGCTGTGTTCCTATGTCTAATACGTTTCAGCAAAACATTAAGGACCCCCCCCCCCCCCCAAAAAAAAAAATAAATCAAAAGAGATTATCAAAATAGACAAAAAACATCTGAGTTTTTTATATTAGGGAGTCACAAGCTAAGCTCCAAGCTTATATACTTGCATAATTCATTAAGTAAACTCAAGAATGTATTCATACTTTGTTAATTCTAAGCAGTGGACATACAAAAAAAAAACAATATGTAGTTCACATGTATATAAAATAAACACCATATAAATTTCGTGCGTTTGAAGCTCTTTTCCAGATTGTCCTTCATCGGAAACACTCAAACATATACATTTAAAAGTCAGGGATGCGTACAGACGCTGCAACGTTAGGAACTTATAATAAGTTATCTAAAATAACAACACATCCCGCCAAAACCAATGAATGATTTTGCTTTTGCTTACGATTCATCTAATATAACATGTCCATGGTAATGTATTTGAAAATGATAAAAGTCATGAACACCTGAATGATAAAAGTAAGCGCCGTTCAAATTACTTTTGGATTGCTGAATGAAACGTTTAAGAGCAAGAAAAAAATGCATATACGACATAGGATAGTTTTATACAATAAGAGGTTTTTTAAAATATGTTTTTTCATACGTACCTTTGACATAGTTCATCAAAACTATGCAATTTTTAAAAATATATATACTACATTTTCAGATGCATTACACGTATACTCATACGTATATAAAACTATGTTGCGTCCTTTTTTCAACATAACAAAAAAGAGAAGGCTGAGGAAAAACAATTTGTTTTTGACTAATTGAATTGTACGAACACAAAGTGCATAAGTCTTGGCTGATTGGACTTTTTTTTTAAAATCAGAGTTGTCTTTCTTCTACCCTTAATAACGATAGGTTCTTCCTTGAAGATACATTAATTGTCGAAATGTGCATCTGGTGCAGTAAAACTGATACCGTTAATGTTTTGCATTATGTCGCTCTGTAAATGGCGACAGTAGTTTACTAATATTCAAATCTCAAAGACACAAACGAGGTAACAAACAAAAACTAAGGGAATCGTATGATCTCCAAAAGGAGCGATACCGGAGTAAAAACGGTAATCCTGTTTTTGTTATTAACTGGATTATTTTTCGCTTTAAAAGACCGCACAAAATAAAATGTGAAATATCAGATTTCTTGCACTTGATATATTGTCTGTTAAAAATACTTTATCATTTATTTTTACATCTACGTCAAATAAATTTCTTTTTTTCAGGTTTTCGTATCATCGATACCTGAATCTACAAAATAACTAGCAAATTGGTAAAGTTTAACTGGATAATTATCAATAAAATGAAATTGTACCGTTTTTGCCATGATCGTGTGTCCCGCTACTTTATAGAGAACATACCATCAATACGATTCAATGATCTCGTTTTGGAAGGCTACATAAACAACCATGTAGTATATACTTGTAACCAGAATAGAACTGAATAACAGGTGTATTTTATGATGACTTTATTTTATATATCTTTTTCTGTACTCAATGTTCTATTTTCTTTAAGGTTTTTTTGCATCGTATACGACAAAAAGACCTTGAAATATCATTATCTATAACTTAAATTAAACATGTTAAGCGGTTGACCGTATCAACTGACCATGGTATAGGGAACGGCTCACTATAGACGTTTTTTTTACCACACTGTTATGGTCACATATTTTCTAATCTTTAACTAGTGCATGGATAAGCCTGTTTTTTTCATTTATTTTTAAAATCTGCAGATATTACCGGATACTAATACATTGGTAATATGTACGTATTGCGTACCACGGAACCTATATACAAATGTAGGTTTCATTTATGTCGCATACTTTCGTTCTTTTCTGTGCCTTGGCTGTCGGTATGGAAAGCTAAATAGCATAACTGAATTATGGTAATCCTTTAAAATGTCGTTGCAGTTGAAATCAGTACTACTAGAATATTTTCAGTTTAACCCGTATCATTACGAATCAATACGTAACAAAGAGTAGAGAAACATGACTGTTTTCAAGCTCCCTTTGCAGTATTGTGTACTTGATTGTTAGGTTTCCAGGCATAATGCCACTAACAAAACAAACGATTGACTGTTTAATTAATTTTGCAAACTAAAAGAGAGGCGAAAGATACCAAAGGGATTTTCAAAGTCGAAAATAAACTGACAACGCTATGAAAAAAAAAAATGAAAAAGACCAAAAGACAAACAACAGTACACAATTCACAACATAGAAAACTAAAGACACGATTCCCACCAAAAAACCGGAGGTGATCTCAGGTGCTCATATGTTAACTTACACAAATATGTAAATAGAAAACGTGTATAGGTCTTAGAACTCTTTTTTGCATAAGGTTGACAATTAGAATGTTTTACTATTATAACTTTATATAGAAACCCTCCTGAAACTGTTGAAAAAGTATTTCTTTTTAAATTATTAACATCAATTTTATCAGCAATCAAAGTCGGGTTTCAAAGTTATTGTTTAACTACCTATTATAGAGTTGGCGTAAATCTGATGTGGATACTAAAAAATTCCAACAATCTTTTAGAGTATATACAATCTATGACTCTTTCATCTTGCATTATTAATAAAACATTTGACTTTTCTACAATTTACACAACTATTCCTCATTCCAAATTTGTTTCATGGATGGGTACTCTATATATTTTGTTTTTCTATTAAAGACAAATTGAAAGAATTGGTCCTGCTTTGTTTCATAAAAAAGAATGATCAACGTAAATACAAAAATCTTGTCTTAGGGAGGAATAAATCGTACTTTATAAAAAGAGGGACGAAAGATACCAGAGAGACAGTCAAACTCATAGATCGAAAACAAACTGACAACGTCATGGCCAAAAATAAAAAGACAAACAGACAAATAATAGTACAGATGACACAACATAGAAAACTAAAGACTAAGCAACACGAACCCCACCAAAAACTGGGGGTGATCTCTGGTGATCCGGAAGGGTAAGCAGATCCTGCTCCACATGTGGCACCCGTCGTGTTGCTTATGTTATTACAAATCCGGTAAATAGTCTAATTCGGTAAGTCACATTCGTGAAAAGGGAAGGGTATTGTAGTTACGACATAAGGAACATATCCGATATCATCTGTGAAACGGTTATTCCATAACGGTCAACCAACTCGTGATGGCGTCCGTAAAATTTACGAAGGGATGACTTCAACTTCACCATTTGAAACTCTTGGTTTAATAGCTTCCTTGTGAGCAGCAATCCTCTATCAAGGAAATCATGATAGGAAACACAAGCCCGGGAATATCGTATCAATTGGGAAATATATACTCCGTATGCAGGCGCTGCTGGAATGTTGCTACATAGAAATGGAAAGTTCACAATTGTGAAGCTGAAATCATCTCTTTTGTCGTAAAGGTTTGTTTTCAACCGACCCTCATTGTCAATTTCTAGATGTAAGTCAAGATATGAGGCAGACTTAACTGTATCTGTAGTATCCTTTATCTCTAGTTCGATGGGATAGATTCGTTCAACATAGTCACCAAATTTTGTATTATTTAGTGAGAGAACATCATCTTTATAGCGGAACGTAGAGTTAAAGGATATTGCTAACTTCTTATCTCTCTTCCTGAGAAGCTCCTTATAAGACATCACTCTGATTCAAACCAAAAATTGTCTGAAACTGACTTCATCAAGATGCTTGATTTCTTGATTGACAACATATTTGTTACGTTTGGAGGTCGTGTTTTCAACAAACAATCGACATTCCCATTAGAAAAAAACTGTGCATCTTTTTCCTTTATTTATATGAGGCGGAGTTCATAAAGGAACCTATTAGGAATTAAGAAAAGAAGTTAGCAGTATCCTTTAACTTCACTTTCCGCTATATAGATGATGTTCTCTCACTAAACAATTCTAAACTTGGTGACTATGTTGAACGCATCTATCCAATCGAACTTGAGATATAGAGAACAACAGATACAGTTAAGTCTACCTCATATCTTTTTTGTTGGAAAGTTAAGTTATCATCCGATCCTCATTATTAATGTATATCTGCCAGTAAAGATATGAAAAAGACTACTAGTAAATGTATCTGCAGTATGTTTTATTTCATGTTCAAAGTAATTAAAGATTGCATTATTCAGTTAGAGGGCTTAGTCTATATAGCTGAATAAGGATAATGCTAGTATTATGCTGTATGAGGTATGTCTGATACGAATAATATAACAAGTCGCCGAGAGTCACAGTTATTTCCCATCGGAATGCCGATACTTTATCACTATACATATCATATACCGACTTTAATAGGAGGAATAATACGGATGTCACTAAATGATCAGGAATTGCTTAACTTATAAAACACTAGAGTTCCGTGTTGTGTTTTATGGACTGTTGTTTGTCTTTTCGGGTTTGTCTTTTTTGCCTTGGTTCTGTCTCTTTACTTTCGACTTAATACCCATTTAATATCTTTTCTCCATTTTTATTCATGTAAATACATAGTAAATAATGGCAAACAAATATTCATTACTTCGTATGATCTTTGTATTTATATTAACAGTACAGTGAAGCAATTTATCTTTACAAATCTACTGAATTAATTTGTATGTATCACTGAATGTTTTATTAGCTGTAGTTCGTCGTCACGTTAACTTGAAACTATTTTGGTAGAATGTTTATCTTGTGTGACTCTTTTAACATAATTTATGATATTT